GCCTCCCGACTTTCCCTTCCCTCCCAAAAACCTACTCGCGTTTCTTTATTCCCTGAGCGCGTTGTAGGACCTCCTTGCTTGCGGCGGCCATGGCGACGTTTGCAAAGAGAACGTTCGATGCGGCCAGGTACGCGGCCTCGCGCCCAACATACCCGCGCAGCCTCTTCGAGTCCATCCTCACTTACCACAAGCAATCCCTCAACATGCCCGGCTCTGCCGCCCGCTGGGACCACGCCCTCGACCTAGGCTGCGGCACCGGTGTGTCTTGCCCGAAAAGTACGCGGTAAAATTTTAATTTTAACTTTTTTTCTAGGTCAAGCAACGGTCGAACTCTTGCGCCCCCCACCCAAGGAAGGAGAGATGATCCAACCCTTCTTCGAGGAGGAACCGCTCGGGTTCAATTTTGTCACGGGCGTCGACCCGAGCGCGAAAATGATCGAGCAGGCGAGAGCGTTCACACAAACCCTCGGCGAGCGCGCCGGGGGATTCGAATTCGTGCAGAGCCCCGCAGAGCAGCTCGGCTTCCTCGAGGACGAGCAAGTCGACATGGTCATTGCCGGTGCGGTTTGCGTTTCATATTTATTTTCCCTGTCCTAACCGCAATACAGCCCAAGCGGCCCACTGGTTTGACTGGGAACGTCTGTGGCCCGAGCTCTCGCGAGTACTAACCTACGGCGGCACCGCCGCGTTCTGGGTGCGCGTCCCGGCGAGCTAATCGCGTGCCATGCTCATCATCTACATTTCAGGTCTACTCAGAATTCCGGCTGCCGCAATACCCACATCTCACCCCACTCATAACAGAGTACGCGCAGGGGACCGACCCGCGCACGTCCCTCGGCCCGCACTGGGAAGCCGGCCGCAGCATCCTCAACAACCACCTCCTCGACATCGCGCCCCCGCCGACGGGCTGGACCGACGTCAACCGCGTGTTCTTCACGGGCAAGCACTTCCCGGAGCTCCCGCAGCCGCACCTGGACCCGATCATGCGCCGCACGATGACGTGGAGCGGCGACGGCCTGGACGGGTACCTGCGCACCTTCAGCGCGCTGCACCGCTTCCACGACGCGTACCCGGAGGACCTGCAGCGCGCGGACGGCGACATCGCGACGCGCTTCCTGCGCCAGCTGATGGCGGCGGCGCAGGTGCCGGCGGGCCCCGAGGGCGAGGCGCAGGAGGTCGAGGTCGAGTGGCCGCTTGCGCTCGTCATTGCGCGCAAGGAGCTCGACCCGAAGGACCCGTGGCGGCAGCGGCAGGTGGCGCTCGGCGAGCGCGTCGATGTTGTGCGGAAAAAGTACGAGGAGAAGCAGGCGGGGCTGCCGCCGGCTGTGACGCTCGAGGACACGGCGACGCGGCTCAACGACTGGGTCGCGGTACAGGGGGAGGTGCTCGAGATTGTGAAGAACGATCTGGACACGCTGCCCGAAGACGTGGATGAGCCGTACGACGAGGATGGGGGGCGCGAGCGGTACATCGAGGTGATGGACGACCAGCGGATGACGCTGTCGTGGCACCTGTCGTTCAAGGAGTCGTTCGACACGGCGCTGGAGCTCGCGCTCAAGACAGAGCGCGAGATGGGGCCCGGGAACGCGCACCCGCCCTCGGCGCTGGCCCGGTGGCTGGAGCTGATGCGCGCGCGGACAAAAGAGGTCGGGGGCCCGCTGTGGGAGATGGACGCCGCGCAGGCGGAGGAGATCACGCCCGCGCAGATTGCGGCGCTGACGGCGGAGCAGGTGCAGGGCTACGAAAAGGCAGAGGCGCTGGAGGCGATCGTGCGGGTTGCAGAAGAGCTTGCGCAGGCGGTCCCCAACGAGCCCATCTCGGACCTCGTGCGCGGGCTGTATATCTCGGCGTCGAAGGAGGTCACGAAGCAGGTCGAGTACGGCGACAAGCCGTTAGAGTAGTTTCCTAATAAAATAATACATTCCCAGCTCTGAGGCTCGGTGTGACACCGTGTAACGCAATGTAACTCTCTCTCCACCTCCATGGACGACCTGCCTGCTGAGATCGTGGACAAAATCCTCGGGCTTGCTATGGGCCCTCAAAGCGACTTCGCCGCGAATAGTCTCACCAGGGCAGCAGCGGTACGAGTCTGTCGCCGGTGGAGGGACTTTGTCTACGAGAACTCGTCCTTTTGGAGAACAGTTACACTCTTCCGATTCATGTCGCGCGAACACATTACCTTTACGCTGCACAAAGCACTGCAAGCCCAGGACATCCGCTTGGTCGTCGACGCGCAAGAGTACGACTCCATGACGGACGGCCACCGCACCATAGCCGTCGTCTGTCGGTCCCTCACTGACTGGAATGCCGTTGTATCAGACGTGATGGCGGAGGTGTTTGACGCGGTAGGGCAGCTCCGGGTGGAGGCCTCCAACTGCGCAGACTGGGCCTCCGTTATGGCACCGTTCATGTGCTTACCGAGCGCCGCTCTCCATCGCGTCGAGGCCTACACAAGGGGCTTGGCTTCCAGTCAGCGCGACATCGACATACCACGCGAGGGCGCCGTATGGAGCTCGGTGACTACGATGAATCTGGACGCAGTCAATCCCATGTGGTTTGGCGCACCCGTCTTTTCCGGTCTGACGGAACTCGCCTTGGGAAGGGTGTGGGGTTCGTTTCGCGTTGACACAACGAGTCTCCTTGCCGTACTGGAGAGCGCGCGCCAATTGACGGTTCTCAAGCTCCAAGACGTCGACTCCATCCCGCAGCAACGGCCGCGGACCACAGTCACGTTGTCGCGTCTCACACATTTTTGTTTCGTATACAGCCGGAATCCGTGTACCATCCTCCTGCGCCACCTTCATCTACCCCATGTTCGCCACTTGCGCGTGCATGCCGTCAACAGGGCCAGCACTTTCCTAGACGTATCGAGCAAGTGGTCGCTGGTGCCTAGCAGGCTCTCTAGCACGTCAGGCTTTTCGCGCTGCGTAGACATTATAAGCGAGGTCGCGTCCAGAGACTTTGGACACGAGGGGCCACGCGCAATCTCCGTCATGGAGTCCGAATTGGTCCACCAGCGTGACGTCCTGTTCAACGTCAACCTGCACTCATTGAACGACGACATGGGCGGACCTAATGTGTTGCACGGCCCTCGATGCAGCTTGGAGTACACGGTGGAAGTCGAGCATAAACGACATAGGTACACAAGAAAGTCCAACGGTGAGGGCTATATTGTTGAAACGAACGCGGAGGCCGTGGATTGTATCTGGAATAGCTATCCGACGAGAGCTCTGCCGGAGCAGTGGCTCGAGTAGGAGAGTGGAGAAGAGCGGGAGCCCCGCTACAGTATGTAGTTTCAAGAAAATTGTAATAAATATTATTCCCAGCGCGCGCCGTGTGCTCGATCTTTCTCTTTCCTACCATCTCCTGCACGGTCCATGAAGGTGGCGATTGTCGGCGGAGGCCCGTCTGCATTCTACGTCGCGTCGCGCCTGCTGTCGCGCAGGACGGACGCGAGTCTACGCGTGCACCTGTATGACCGACTGTGGGCGCCGCACGGGCTTGTGCGGTACGGGGTCGCGCCAGACCACCCCGAGGTCAAGGCAAGTCGGGTCGCGCACGGCGAGGGGACGCTGACCTCGTCCAGAACTGCACCCATAAATTCGACCAAGCCGCCGCCGACCCCCGCTTCAGCTTCTATGGGAACGTGAACATTGGAATGGCGCCGCCGCCGGGGATGCCGCATACGGTGCAGCTGCCTCTGCAAGAGCTGCAGAGGCACTACTCGCACCTCGTCTTTGCTACGGGCTGCACGCTGCCCACCCTCCATACTGCGCTGGCTGACTCGCCGTGGTGCATGCCCGCACTCGGATTCGTGCACTGGTACACCCAGCACCCGTCTGCCCCGCCGCCGCCAGCTCTGGACACGCTCACGCACGTCGCGCTGATTGGGAACGGGAACGTCGCCCTCGATATCGCCCGCATTCTCCTCACCTCCGTGTCTGTGCTCGAAAAGTAGGTCTCAATCCCGGCTTCGATGGCCAACTACTTATTATACAAAGGTACGACGTGCCGCAGGCAGTCCTCGACGTCCTCGCGCGCTCCACCGTCCACCACGTCGACATAATCGCCCGCCGCGGGCCCCTCCACGCCGCGTTTACCGCCAAGGAGCTCCGCGAGCTCACGAACCTCCCCGACGCCGCCATGCGCCCCATCGACCCCCCGCTGCTCGCCATTCCCCCTGGCACGCTCCCCACGCGCCAGCAATCCCGCATCCTCCAGCTCCTCGCGCAGGGCTCGCGCAACGCCTTCGGCACGACGCGCAAAACCTGGGCCCTCGAGTTCTTCAAGAGCCCCACGGGCCTCGCGCCCCCAGACGCCGACGCACAGCCGCGCCTGCTGCTGTCGCACACGGCCCTCGACGCGCACGCGCGCGCGGTCCCCGCGTCGCCCGCCCCGCCGCTGCGCACGTCGCTCGTCATACCCAGCCTCGGCTTCCGCGCGGAGCCGGACACGCCGTTCTACGACCCCGCCGCGGGGCACCTGCGCACGAGCGCGGGGCGCGTGGTCGGCGACGATGGGCGGCGCGTGAGGGGCGTGTATGCGTCGGGGTGGGCAGCGAATGGCGCGCGCGGGGTGCTGGCGACGACGATGATGGACGCGTATGGGGTTGCGGATGCGGTTTTGGCGGATGTGGATGCGGGTGTGGATGCGGATGTGGAAGCGCACGCTGAATTCGCGATGAATCCGGCGCCGGCGGACGAGCTGCCCCCGCTGCTGGTGCGCGATGCCGCTGCTGGGCGTGTGGTCACGTACTCGGACTGGAAGCGCGTCGATGCGGAGGAGGTGAAGCGCGGCGAGGTTCTTGGTAAGGAGCGGGAGCGGATGCACTGGGAGGAGGCGAAGGCATTTTTGTGGGGCGGTTGGGATCTACTGTAACTTAGACTTGAATAATATGCAATGGGAATGTGTACACAAGGCTCCTCTCATTCATGGTCAGCTCCATGAAGCTATGGCTCAAAAGACCTCAAAGGGAAATACAAAGCTCCAGAAACACCCTACGACCTGACCCCGAATCGAACGGGGATCCTCTGCTTAAATCACTTTCCTCATACAAACAACTATTGCAGAGACACTAACCATTGTGCTATCAGGTCAACGCTACTGCAGGAAATTGTAGATACAGCTGTACGAGTTGTCAATGGAATGACCTCGACACAACTTGGAAAATTCAACACAGTGCTGCAGCTAATTAGCCGCCTTCTGGCTTGCAGGAACACGAGGCCGTTCGAGGTTCATCTCATTCCGTGCACATCCTCCAGCATTTTCGCAGACCCAGAAACGAATCTATGTGTTACATGTACTTTGGCACCTCCTCCTCATAAAGTGGACCATTAATCGAGATGAGAGTCAAACAACCAGCCCTCGCCCTTGGTCCCTCCCATGTCGTACGTTCCACTCCAGGATCCCACCTTGCTTTTCTTTACCATTTTCAGTGCACAACAAGCAATAGTCGCGACTCCTTCATTCCCAGCAGAAATCCTCGGCGAGGTCTTTCTCGCCTGCATTCCTATCCCAGGCAACCGAGATAACCTCCCCACATATTTCCCGTGGACCATAAGCCATGTCTGTCACCACTGGCGCGCCTCCGCCCTCGCCTTCCCGAAATTATGGTCGTTTCTCGAGATGGAGCAGACGCAGGAGAACCAAGAGCCCGACGACGCGGAGCTGACGCTCGATTTCATGCAGACGTACCTCGCGCGCTCGGGGCAGCACTCCCTCACGTTCCACCTGACGTACACCTACGAGACGCTCCACTACCAGCCGTTCCTTGAGTGTCTCGGCGAGCACACCGCGCGCTGGCAGAATGTGTCGCTACAGTCACCGAACTTGTACGCGCTGGAGTACCTCGCGCAGGGCGAGCCGACGGAATACCCCATGCTCCGCAGCCTCGAATGCTCGTACGCGAACATGGACTCGGACGCGGTCTGCGAGGGCCCGATCTTCGCCCCGATCCCGTTGGCGCAGCTGATGCGCTACCGCGAATACGAGTGCTCGTGGCGGCCGGACAACGAGCGTCAATGGGAGATCATCGCGCAGCTCAGCGCCGTGGTCGATTTCCGCGCGTCGTTCTACGGCGAGCGCGACAACGATGAGGCGGTCGAGATGCCGCACCTCCGCTTCGCGTCCCTCGCCGTCGACTCGCATGCGGAAGAACTGGGCATCGAGGAGATTATCAACTGCTTTGCGTTCCCGGGCATCCAAGGCCTGAACCTGGAGCTGATGTCGAACCATTCGCTGGACGTGCTGTTGCCCATGCCGGACCAACTCAAGGGCCTCAGGATCCTGCGCCTCTGCGGGGCGCTCGTTATCTCCAACGCGTCACTCTTGAATATCCTCACGGAGCTGGAGCTGCTCGTCGACCTTGCCGTGGAGCTGCGCGGCATCGACGCCCAATATCTATTCAACCTCCTTACCCCGTCAACCTCCCCATCCCTTGTGGTCCCGCAATTGCGCGCGCTGCGGCTACACCGCGTCACGGAATTCGAGCGCGAGCAGGGGACGGTCGACGCACTCCTCACGATGCTCAGCCAACGGTTTGGGGGCGTAGATGGGAAGGAGTTTAAACCGCTCAAGCGCTTCGAGCTGTCGCTGCACGGGGAAGGCCCGTCGGAGCTGAGCGACGAACCGACGTTGATGGAGATTCTCCGCCTCCGTAGGCCGGCGGATGGACCGACGACGACGGCGGAAAGCCCTGTGTCGATGCTGGAGAGCTTGGAGTCAATGCGGGTGCGAAAGGGATGGGATATTCGTGTTAAGGAGTGGTGGGATGAGTATTGGAGTGCGGAGATGGATGGGGAGTTTTTGTAGAATTTCGTGTACATATCTGCGTAATCAAAACCCTGCCTATGTGAACGCGATGGACACAACCCTTCCCGCAGTCGACAGTGCAGTCTAGCGAACCTGAACCAAGCGGAGGGTTTGTACATCCTGTTGCGCGTCGGCCGTCGCCTTGATTTTCAGCATAAGTTGTTCATCTATCCACCGAGGTGAGCACTTGTTTCCTGTGAACAGGAGGCAAGTGAGAATCTGTGAGATGAGATGAACCAGAAGCGCGTGTAGACGATCCTGGAACTTTAATGGAAACGTGCAGACACCACAGTGTTCACATATTGCACTAACCATTGTGCTCTCAGGTCGATGCTTTTTACTTTGCATACCAAGTGTCTGAACAATCTCATTTACCTCGACGCGACTTTGCACCCGCAGTAAACAAATGGTGCCTGGGGCCTGTACATATGCTTGCAAGAGTGCGAAGCTATCCAATTCATTCCCCACGTGTACATTCTCAAGCAGTTTTCCTACAGCAACGTATCTACTTCACAGATTTGTGCGCTTCGAGTTCAGAGAAACAGAAAGATTTCACCCCAGAGAAGGTCGTCGACTACGCCGGCGCACGAGCCTGGAGCTAGGATAGCTCACAGCGTCAGAAAAAAGGCTGCTTTCTGCCGGTGTCGCTGAACTCAGGTAATACGCGGTGGTTACACAGCGGAATGTTGGGTCCCCCAATGAATCGGAGTCGGAGTCGGAGTCGGAGTCGGAGTCGGAGTCGGAGTCGGAGTGGGGGGCTTTCAGAGCGAGAACTGGGCTGACTCGTGGTCCTGGAGAAAGAGGTTACGAATGGCGAGTTATACGGTAAAATGCGGTCAGCTCACTTGGCTTAGTCGGAGGACACCGATGGTCTGGAGGATGGCGTCTTTGCAATTCCCGCACATAGTTATTCCGCTTGTCTAGACCGTGGCGTGTAAGCTCAAAAGAGTAAGTAAGGAAGCGCGCAGCGTTACTTACGACTATACCTAAAGAGTTTCAAACATACCGCCGTCCACGCCCTGAGCTCGATCAGCTCGCTGCGCATCGAAAATATGTGCGCGATGACAAGTTGCTTGACGAGTTCCCGGTCGTCCAATCCCGGGCCCACACAGAGTACTTTAGCGGTCACGACTAGTTTCGCGGCGTCTGGCGGCAAGGCCCGAAAGTGTGCAACCAACCCTTGCGTCGTCCGGCCTCGGAAGTCGGCGATGCGGACGCGATCCGTCTCTTGGTCAGAGAGACACTCGATATACAACGTGCAGATGGAGGTGTCGTCGAAGGACGGGATAGTGAGGAGGGGCTTGACGCTCTGGTGGAATTCAAGCAAGTGGGAATCCAGAGTGTCGGAGCACTGGAATTGTCGTTCGACCGTCGCGGCCGGAGGAATCTCTGCATGTTCGGGGTGGAATGGTTGGCTGGTCTCGCTACAGGGCATCCACTCTAGCCCAATAGACCTATTGAGAGCCCAAGGCGGCGGCCTGAAAAACACGGTACGAGTGCGAGGAGACATGATAGGGCAGGAATTTATTTGTGCATGCTTGGTGGCTTTCCCGTTTCTTCACACTCCGCAGAGTAGACGACTCAGAGTGGACAGCTCTCAGACCATGAACTTGAAGCTAGCCTTGGAGAAGGGAAGCCTTCCAGATTGTCGTTCCATCACTGGCCATCTGCGCTCCAATTCGTGCAGCCCTTCATTCAATTTCCATTCCACAAGGTGGTTTAGGTAGAGGATACGGGGTTGAAGCAAGTGTAAGGATCGCGCCTCGGTCTCGGTACCGAAGCCCTGTTTTTCCGCAGCTCTGCTGACGGCGGCGCAACGGCAACGGCGGCGGCGTAGTTATTTGCCGCAGCCTCAGTCATTGTTCGAGTCTTTTCCGTAGTATTCCTAGTCATATGTAGTCATAATTAGTCAGTTCCCGGACCCGTAGGGTCCTCCAGTTAGGTATAAAAGCCAGTACTTACCTTGTAGTTCAGTATTCTAGTCCAACACGGAGTTTTACCGACTCAAGTTCTCAGTCCAAGTAAAACTCACCTCGATTAGGATCACCGTGTGCTACGACTTTCTCTCAAGAAACCCCGTAGCCTCACATTTTTTTTGAGTCGAATTTTCTTCGATTTTGTGTTGACCGTTCAGTCGGACTGATCACCCGTTTGAACACATAGTTAATTCCCCACGCGACGTACAGCAGGGTGAATATGCGCGAGAAGATGTACGCTTCCGTCGCGCAGTCACCACGGACTTCCTCAGACAGTACTTCTGGGGAAGTGGCCGTGGTTGAAGCCGCACTCCACTTGAGGAGCGGCGGCGCCGCAGCAGCAGAGGGCGAGTTTGAGCCGAATAACTCGCCGGCTGCAAGCCTCATTAGTCCTGGCGTCGCAGAGAAGTCGACGCCGGAGAGCCAGACCTACAGGGATTTGATCCAAGAGGTGGCCAGGAATGAGAGGCCGCTCCACGAATTGAGCGGCATCAATGCAGCGGAGGGCGCGGCGATAGCGCCAGCTGCAGAGGTGGTTGAACTGGATACGGCAGGCGCACCAGATAAGCTAGCCTCCCTTGTGTGGGAGGCGGTTCAACCGACCGAGTCGCCCGTTGATGAACACGGCGGCGAACTTCCAGTGGAGGGCGGGTTCGACGCACTGAACCCGACCACTGCAGTCCCAGGCGCAAAGTGCGCCGTGGGAGCGTCCGAGATTCATAGACCTGATCTGCGACAATGCCAGGGACGGCTGCAGATGCAGAGCAAGGAATCGACGCAGGGCCGAGTGGGTAATCAGTGCGAGCCGCGTACAGGAGGTTGGAGTATGAACTCACCTCGCACACCGGAGTTGATGTGCCGTCGCTCGCTCAGAGCCGAGGACGCAGAGAGTCCTGGGGATGAATTTATCATCCCCACACGCACGGCTAGACAAGTGATTAAGCCCAGTTCAGTACCATTGAATGTAGGATGTAAAATTTTCCCTGCATGGTTTGAAAAGGCAGAGAGTAGCAATCAGTTTGAGCTATCCACAGACGACGAGATTGTCCCAGACTCATCACGAGAAGAGTTTGGTCTTCAGGATGCTATATGGCGCTCACTGAGAGATACCAAGAGTGCTGGCATTCAAGCAGAACGTGTCAGTTGTATGGCAATAACTGTCGAGAATTCAGAGGACTCACCGGAGAATCACAGCGGGATCACTGCGAAGGAAAGGAGCGATGGATTTGCTCAGTATCTTCGCACTGCGACAATGAAGGGATCAGCTGGCACCTCGAAATCTGGAAAGAGTAAGGCGGCGAGAAAGCAAG